ACCTTTCATATTGGTTCAATTTTATAAAGGAGCTAGGAAGCAATAATAATAAGGAAATCAGAAATAATCTTCAATCAGGCTAATAAAAGTAGTGTATAAGAAACTTAGAGAGGGACTGTGAGGAGACTGTTGATTTGTATCCATCATTTACTCTATAAATACGTACAGTCATCCAAGTATCTCCTCCTTTTAAATTAGACAAAACAGAAGTGATAAGATTGCTATACATGTCTCTAGGATGATCTAAATACACAATATCACTGAGATTAAGGGAAGGTAGAGAGGTGGGATTTCTGCAGTTCCTGACAGACAACTGCAGCTGAAGACCTTTCATGTACCCTGATGTTTCTTGCAGAGGGAGCAGATACTAAGAAAAGCAGCATAAAATTAAACATCATAGGTAATATATTATTATGATAGATGAAGAAGAACAGTTATACATAGTCATAAAAAATCTCTTTGTAACTGTATAACAAGTGCTTTTATATTCAGTTTTCTGGTCTCATTTCCTTTTATTCGTTTCTTACCAAACTCCTTAGATTTTTAGACCATACTACAGCTACTTTTCAGTATCTACTCAGACTGAGTTACAACAAGGTACTCTCCAAAGACCAGATCCACGAGTATGTTTAAAAATGTAATTCCCCATCTAATTTTTATTTTTATTTTTTTAATTGAAGGGGAAGAAAGCATTTAAACTGCATTAAGGCAGCTAAAATATTTTCATAAATTTGGGCTTGAAAACCTCTGCAGGAAGAAGTTCTTCAGCTGACTCACACCAGTCAGATTCTAAAATTCTGAGATTTAGGATGATTATGATTGTGTCATGATGGCAATTAACTACAGTTTAAACACAAAGGTGCAGAAACAGCTTTGACCTAGAGAAGAGTTGGGATGACAGTTAAGTCTGGGGTAGAAAAATATGAATTGTAAATCTGAGGAATTGGTGTGGAACAACTCTATATTGATGTATGGAGATTCAGGTCTTTAATAAGCACCTGGAACACTTTCAAGCATTATAGAAATGTTCGGAAATTGTTGTACCAGACCAACTATAATATTTGATTTAGTTTTTAAAAATACATATCGTTAGATAAGAACTTTCTTATTTGAATATTTAATTTGCAATATATATTTGCAAGAAATAATCAAACATTTAAGCTTATGTATTTTTTATGAGACTATATACGTATGGAGATTTTAATCTATCTGATGAAGTAGAAAGGGAAGAGAGAATTTATTCCTCTTCTCAGTTTGCATCTCATCAGGCAGCTGTGCAACTTCTCACGTGGTTTTTACTGTGCTGCCTGTGGTCTGGTGTTTCATGTTTCTAGCCAGCATCTTTCTTCTCACTGGCCTTAGTCACCTTGACAAAAAAGATTTTTTGTTCCACATTTGCAGATAAATAATTTACATACCAAAGCCATCTTAAGTAAGGTGCCAAAATGGATGAGATTCAGTGCTTTTACAGTGACAATTTTTAACCATAAAGGTCATAGCCTTAAAGACCAATTTCTCATGCCTTTGCAGTGCTTCACAGGCCTGAAAACAGGCAGATGTGCACTTCTTAGGACTCATATACTTGATGTCAAATGAATTGCTGAAGCAGATTACTGCTATTAGGTAATTTCTACAGTTGTAGCACAGGTTATTCTAATTCATCCAATTCTGTGAGAACCATATTTGACTCATATTAAAGGCACCTGGATGCAGTAGTAGTTACAGGTAAGAAGTCATCTGACTACAACTTCTACAAAATCTAACATCTGCCTCATCTTTTTATTAAAATGTCAAGTCAAAAAAACTCCATGCTATAGAAAAAATTAGGCCCAGTTTTGATTGGCATGAACGTATTCATTTTTAACAAGGCCTACATCTTATAACTCTTCACCTGTTAAAGCCTCATGCCTAGTTATGGTAACGTGCATTAGTTGCCATGACAACAATAAATTGGAGCACACAGATATACTGCTTTTCACTGAAAAATTAATAATTTTCTCCCTGTAAGAATTTTAAATGTTCTGCAGGCCAGTCAAATCCTAATTATTTTCTTATTATTAGTTCCTAATCTATCTAGATATATTTGAAATAATAGAGATGGGTGTGTGGTGTACCTACCTTTTAAAAGACTCTAAAGGCTGGTAGCCAAAATGGCCCCTCTCTGCCAGAAATAGAAGGCAGTTAAATGATAGAAACCAGGAGACATTTACAGACCCTTTGAACAACTGTGCTTGGTGAAGTTCGAACCCCTGACTTGTTCTCACCACACTGCAATACAGATAACTGGTTTTGCTCTCACTTGTACAGCCCATGTGGCTTTGTCACAGAAGTTATGAAAATTCAGAGCACTACCAATGCTAGCTAATTCCCCAAAAGTGCCTTACTGCCTTTGCAAACACATCACGTTCCTTGGCTAGGTGAAGCCTATAGATTAAGACAGAAAGGGCAGCAACAACACAGTGTGGGGGTGAAACTGTGCAAACTGTGCTGTTTACACTGTTTCGTGCTTTGAAGAAGTGAGCAAACAAAAACACCAGGAACAGAAATCAAAGCTCCCACCAAGCGAGACTGCTGCTGGCAATCCCCTCGCATCCTGTATGCGCATCATAAAGCCAACATACGCGAACCACATGGCACGATACATGGATGCGCACACACATAGTCCCAAAAGAGGGAGGACAAGTTACAAACTTTTTTTTTTCTTTTTTTTTTTTCTCTTATTTCAACAACATGACACCCGTAGATAACAGCATGGTGACAGACTGTACATCCATAGAGTGACAACATAGCCATTTATCACTGTATCTTACATTATGAACCTGATGAATCGATGAGAAAGGATATCCTGCATTCTGGTTGGTCCAGATCTCACAGACAGAGGACTGCTAATATAAACAGAAAACTACATCTCATCTTGTAAATATTAATGCACCGCAACTGCCAAAAGGCAAGAATAATTAAGAAAAGGCTTGCAATAACATTAAAGAAGGGAGAAAAACAGCTGTTAAAAGTAATTTTTTATTTATTTGCTGACAAAATATTTTTGGACTGACTGGAAGGAAACATAGCTTATTCAGAGATGTTAGAAGAGGCTTCAAACTGTGAGTACAAGAAAACAATTTAGTCAGAAGTGCTGGTGATGTAAAGAGAGAAAGTTATGCAGGCATAAACAGAAAACGCAGAGAGCAGAAGAAATATTGGTTACTTTCAGTTTTTGGCAGGAAAGAAGTTTGAAGTCAACACCCCCAATTAAGTTTTGAGATTTGAATCTCACTCTGCTGGAGATTTTCACAGGGATAGAGAAAGGGAAAAATCTGGCAATATAGTCAACAGGAAAGATCAGTTCTCTTTACACAATTACCAGGAAAGAATGAACTGCAATTAAGTGAAGCAGTCAGCCACCATCTCCTTCCACCAACAGTTCCTTTGCATATAAAGTTACAGACAATATTACCTTTGGTATTGACCATGCCCCCACTTAGCAATTAAAAAGGTTTCTTTCAGCATTCTACATTATTTTATAGATAGTGTGTAGCAGGCAAAGCAAAGTAAGCATACTGTAGCATCTCTAGCAAAAGCAACAGAGCTAGATGAGCACAGCATTCACCAGCATCCGCTACATATTTCCTTGTTTGGACAATCATCAAGAAAGCATCTTGACACCTTAGCAAAAGCTAAGATAACATTTTACAGTAGCCAGGCAACTAAAACAAAGCATCAGACGTAGGAGCTGCCCACAGTATCTTAGGCAGGCAGCAACAAAAGGCACTAAACACACATGAAAAATGCAACTGCAGCATCCAGAATAGCTAGCAATTAAAGTATCAGTAATTTAACAGCAGCAGAGTGTGCATTGCTGGTTCTTAGCAGCAGCAGCAGTAATTCAGCATTGATGCTCAAAACAGATAACCCCAAAAGTGCAACTCTTGTCGGAAATATGGCTCTTGCTCTTACCTTCAGCAGTCTGAAACCTGGCTGCCTGGCTGGTGACAGGCTAGGTTATCAGCTCTGGTTACTGTCAGGGCAGGCTGGCACCCTCTGTACTGACTACCGTGCGCTACCAGACAGGCTGGTGACTGCCTAATGTTGTTAATTGTTCCTTATTTCCTTCATGATTTGAAATGCATGCACACACATCCCTTCCCCCTGCTTCATTAATTTTTAAATTTTCCCATATCCAGTTAATTTCTTCCCTATCTTGTTTTCAAAATTATGTGTGTTTCCTAAGTGATGCACAGGGCTCTCAGTATAAGGCCATCAGCAAGCACCACTTCAGTGACTCCTCCTGCTGAACTACTTAGCACTAGTTACATTTTTTTTTTTTTCCTCCTCATCTGTATGTCTAGAAAACTGATTTCTGGATGTTCCAGCCATGCCCATCACCGTGATGCCTATCAGAGGCTGCGCTTCAGCTTTTCAAGGAAAGTGTAAAAGTGAAGGCATTTTCATGCCAGGTGCAGCATCCCCAAGCATCTGGCAGTCAAGAAAACATATTGTAGTGCTATTTGGACACACTTGCTGAGGTCCTGAAAAGAATAAGATAAATTAGCATGGCACTGCATGCTAACAGACGTTTAATTTCTCTCCAGCACTAAGGGTGCTGGCACAAGGTTGCTGTGATGCTGTCTTATTGTACAGCTGGTTCTCACCACCTTGATATTCTGGAGACAAAGGTTATCCTTCAGTCCTGCCCCTCCTGATGACTTGCCCTCAAGCAGCAGTGCCTGGTGCCTTCTGCAAGCAGCTGTGGCCCTGGCATAGCAGTTCTGTAATAACAGCCCTACAATGCTGTGTCAGGAAATGTTATGAATACACCAGGTCCATCTATGGCTGCTTAGGTGCTAACTTACTTAGGTAACAGGTAACACAACACTGCAGTAACCATATAAGCAAGTTTTAAGCTTTTAAAAACAGGCAGGAAATCAATCCTTTCTTACACGTGCCAATGCTGCCCACCCTGTCCCTCCATCCCCAGAAAGAACCTCATGGGTTAGTCCACTCACTCCAAGAGCTGGGAGATCTGAATCTGATGCCTTTCTCTGACTGAGGGAATTCACACCTACATATTTCACCTTCCTCTCCTATGAGTTAAAGCAGCAGAAGGTAGGCTGTCTTCAATCCCTTTTATAAATGAAGGGAAGCGCTTCTTATTTTTAATTCCTAGGAGAAAGAAGAGTGCACAAAAGCAGATGTTTGAAGCACTCATCTGTGAGAGACGAGCTCTGGGCCCAGGTCCCTGCTCCCTACCTCCAGGATTAATGGCTTAGGGGGTCTAGAATTAAGCTAAATTACCTTTAAGTACAGGTGACTAGATTTATTAAAGAGGACCAGCAGTGACTGAGAATGTCTCATGACTGCATCAATGGCCAGTGGGAAGTACAGCCATGCAAAACTCATTACTCAGTTCTGTACTCATTAATGTTTGAATGACTAAGGTACTGACATGCAGTACAGAAGGAACATTAATTTTATGGAAGGTAATGAATTGAAATTCAGAAGCCAACCTTTTCTTTGGACCACTGTAAAAATATTTAGCATTTATTATATACATATTTTATGTCTTCAAAGTGCTGAATTTTTTTAATGAATTATGAAAACCCTGTGAGAAGTACTTCAGGTTGCATACCCCTGTGCTGAAGTGGAAGGAACCAAGGAAAGGAAAAAGGTTAAGTGAGCATCTGAGGCCAGAAATTCAGTAAGCAGTAGGAGAGTTGGTATTAGACTTCAAACATGCCCAATTTTCAGTTCCCAAAACATATGCCCTCAAAATAAAGGAAAATAAATAAATCTGTGCATGCACTTCCATGGTAATAAACAGAAATACACTTGAGCATTTAATACCACTGATGTAGAAGGTTCTGTGAAAAAGAGCTTCACAAATATTTTTTTTCTTAAGGAATATAGCTAAAAATAATAAAAATAGCACCAGCTATTGTATGATTAGCATCAAACATGCACTTCTCTTATTGGTATGCATTTATCTTTTGGGAAGAACAATGTTCCAGCAAGAATCTGATATCCTAATATAAAGGCTATAGATGTCCCATGCATGAAAGCCTTCCCAATCATCACTATGGGACACAACTCTGGCAGACAGGAGGGGTGAAGGAAGAGGAAAATGGAGTAGCCTGCACTGCACAGCTCCTACCATGTGCTACTGATGATAGAGATGACTGGTTAACAGTGCCAGAGGAAGGGAGGTGTGGCTCTGTGTCACCTGCTCTCCACTCAGCCATCTCCCTTCCTTTCCCAGCAGCCAGTTCTGACATAGCCTCCTAATCACTTCATGACTGCCTTTTAAAAAAGTTGTTTTACAGACATTTTCAGTTCTCTTGTTTATTTAACATAACCTCTGTGATTTCCAGAAAACACACTCACATAAGAAATAATATTTCTTACTGCTCTGGCTAATTTCATCTGTGATAGAAGTCAACAGGGTGTAATTATTTCAGACACCTGCAGTGAAGTTAGTAGCCAATCATGTTACAAGATGTTTCCACATTCCCATCTGCTTCAACTCTTTCTAGTTACTCATATATTTACTTGAAAAAATGTAGGACACCACATATGTTGGTCTTCAATGTGGCAGGCTGTGTTAGAGATAATTTAGTGCTTTGTAAGGTGAACAAAATTACCTGAAAAGTTAGTGTAAACTCCATCCCTGTTGATAGAGATGACTTGATAATCTGAAGACAAAGTAATTTTACCAAAGGTGATCACGCAGTAATAAGATTGATCATGGAAATCATACCCTTGGAAAGCAACAGAAATAATATGTGGGCAACGTACACAGAAGGAACAGGAGCTCAATAGAAAGCAGTCCTGATGTATTCAACACCAGTCAGCTTCATGGCACTTAAGGAGATGTCAAAGATTTACTTAAACTAGGAGTAATTATCCTCAAAAAGTCATGGAAGATAATAAAAAGACCAAAGAAGGGCTAAAAGAACATTTAAGATAGGAGTAAAGAAAGGTTTGTGAATTTATAGCCAACCAAACTGCAGGGACCGGCATGTTACTAGCAAAATCATTTAAAAACCCAATCACCATCCCCTGGTCCTTGTGGCCTTTGAGATCTCCTGACTTTGCTCTTGGCCATGTGAAATAAATGTTCATGTATCAATAAATAAATGTACATGTATCTCTGTCTATGCACACATACAAAATTGAGCCTAATAAAAAAGTGTGATCTTGCTGCAATGTGTTACCCGCCAGAACATTTATAGGCCAAGAGAAATTCAAGATGTTTATAATGAGGTTGTTCAGCATGAATCATCTCAGATCAAATTTCCTTCCTTTGTTGGAAAATGGGCCTACTAAATCATCAGCAGCAAGGAGAAGCACAGCAGGATGTGGACACTGATTATGCAACTTCTGATGCGATGTCACGTGATGTTCCCTGTACACAAACTAGCCTGAATCAAAATGCAGAGTTTGCACAAGAAGTTGAAATACACATTTAGAGAATAATTATCAGTATTTAAGTAGAACTGGACTGGAACATATTGAAAGAATCTGCAATGACCTGCTCCCTGCAGACCCTCTGGGGAGGATCCAGAACTCAAGGACTTTCCATAACGGGGTAAGAACTGAGAATGGATTTGATGAACTGCAGAAATTGGTCAGATGATATTCATATGGGAAGAGTATGCCTTGGTAAAGTAAGATTAAATATACAAATAAAATGTCAAATAGATTAGCAGAGTGTTTTAACAGGGCGGGGGGAGGGGTGTCACTCAGATCTGGAAGTTTCAGTATACTACAAGTGAAATACAGAGGTTTTGCAGATGAATAAGCAAACAAATTTCAGGATAATTCAGGTTGGAAGGGAGCTGAGGAAGCTTTCTTTAAAACCCCAGCTCAAAGCTTGAGCAGCTGTGAGATGTGACCTGCTTGCTCAGGGTTTCATCCTGTCAGGTCCTGAAAACCCCCAAAGACAGAGATTGCTCAGACTCTGTGAGCAACCTGTCCCACTGCTTGCTTCTCCTTGTGGGGAGGAAGTTTGTCTTACATCCAGTCTGAGCCTTTCTTCTTTCCATTTTTGTACCAAAAGCCATCTTTTCTCCAGCCACCCCTGCTCACCCAGCCTCTCCTCGTAGGACAGGTGCTGGATCCAGCCCCCAGCTGTGTTGGTGACCCTTCATGGAACTCCCCTCTCATAAACAAAAAAGAAAGTATTTAATACAAGTAGCATATAGTAATGCACGGGGAGTAATTTCTGCACCAGGCACAGCTACCAGCGAGGCATCATCTGGAAGCAGAGTCCAGTGTTAGACACTGCACTTCAAGGAGGATGGAGGCAAACTAAGGGAATCCAGGAGAGAACAAGTAGTCTAGAAAACACCAAGGCATGGCCATAGTTAGGTAAACATCAGCCTCAAATGGTCTGATCAGCCCTGAGCAAGCCTGAGAAGAGGGAGTTTATGCCTTCTGATTATGTTTAGAGAGCTGTTTCTTCTGTTGGCTTCCATCTCTCCTCTGCAAGGCCCACATGTCCACTTTGCAGATGTGGTGCAAGAATAGGAGCCACGAACCTAATCTCCCCACCGCCTCTACTGTGTGTCCCACAACAGGGCTGAGCTTCAGGAAACTGCTCCCACATCCTGGCACTTAAGCTCCAGTAAGGCACAGAAGGGAAGCAAAGAAATGATAGCAACCCCACTCTCTCTGATGCAAATTATGTAGCAGAAACTCGCTGACTATAATTCAGTCTCACTCCAGAAATGAGGAGAATTTTGGATCAAATCCCAGAAAATCACTTGTGGCACAGCAAACAATCTTTAAAGGTGCAACAGCTGAAAGAAACAAATGAAATGGAATGAATGGGGCTGGCTGGCCCCTTTTGTATTCATCACTCCAAATGTTTCAGGACTGTGGGAGAGCAGTTGTGCAGTCTCAATAGATGTTGCTTCCCTGAATGTTCCCCAAGCTCTGGGGAGAGCCTGCCTTACCAACAGGAATAATCACACATCCTCCAGTGAAAAAAAGATCTTCAGAGATGGAGAGTGAAATCTGAAATGAGTTCTTTTATAGATAGAGCCAAAATCAGAAATAACAATTCTTATTAGAGTAAGAAATGAGCACTCTCAGGCAGCTTTCACAAGCAGGAGTGTGCCCCAGCACACCACGGGAAGGCAAACAGGCCCAGGACCACTGTGAGCCTGCAAGGGCTGTCCCCCCAGCCAGGGGCAGGGCTTCAAGTCCCACACTGCTTTGCCTCTGGGTGCCTGCTGCACACAGGGACATGCTTGGAAAATTTTTCTGTAATGAGAATTGACCTGGGTTTCCCTCTCAACCAGCTGACACTGTCTCTCACATGATGCAGTCTGTTTTCATTTGATTTCCATCCAGTAACCCAGGATTTAGGCTCCTGGTGGGAAGGACTGATTGAGGGTCTTCCCACCAGTTTGCTGAAGGTTGCCACTGCCGCGCCTGGCTTCTGGAGGTGCAGCTTTACAGCCGCAGCCCTGGCCCAGCGATGTGTGGTGAGTTGCCAAACCTTTGCCAGTTGACGACTCCCCTTTCTGCTGGTTCTGCCAGTTACTAGTGCTCCCTAGCCCTTTAGTCTTGCATATAGGAGAGAAACTTCTGGACAAATACCACCCATATAAATAAAATTTGTGGCTTCAGTCCTCACCATTAGGCACAGTTACTGACATTTTAGCAAAACAAAACCAAAATGCAACAACCCGAGCTCTTTCAGAAGAGCACCGCAAACAGTACAAGTTATTTCCCAGGAGCTCAAAAATGTAGACGTTAGATACTGAAATTCAGCTTTGACTCTGAAATATTCAGCTTTTCAATAAGAATATAGTCTCCTTGTCTGTAAAAGCTACCCAACCTTTTCCATTTTTCATATAATCCTCCTCCATTTTTCATATGATCTTTCTAATACAGAGCTTCTAGCTTACAAGGCTGAGTGTGAAAAAAGAGTAAATTAATAAAGAACATCTGTCCCCATCTTGAAAGAACATCTGTCCCCATCTTGGTGTAGTATTTATGGCATTTGTTTGGATCATTAGTACCAAATATAGAAACAGCTTCCTTAATTCCATATGATGAAGCAGCATGAAGGTATGATCCACATCCCACGGCTTTATTTCTAAAATGTTAGCTTCTGTAGCCTTAATGAAAATATGCACCTTTTTATTCAGACAGAAATTGCTTAGATTTTTCATGTCTTTATCAGTTTACTTGTCCACTGAATAAAAAACACTTGAGGGTTTGTTAAAATTTACACTTCAAGACATAGCAATTTTTGGCATTAATATGTATCTGAATTAAAAAGACAAAATCCAGTAACATCTATAAAATGCAATAAAAATAGATTTAGAAAGCATTTTTCTTTTGATGTTAAATTGAAGGTCTTCATAGATAAGTCATCTTTCCATATTTTAAAATAAGATGCACTTCAAAATATGAACCATAGAACATCTTGTTTGGATTTTATATACTTTTCTTTAAAATGGCTTTTGTTCATCCCCAGACTGTACACTATTTTTTGCTTATTTGAGAAACAGAATTAAGAAAATCTTAGGAAAAATAACAAAATGAAATAAACTGGTCATCCATACTTTTGTATTTACTGCTTCTTAAATCCACTATAAATAATTCTGTTATTTCACCAGTAATTTCAACCATTCATAAAATCCATTCTTTGTTGCTTCTTAGATAATCTCATTTTACACACTGATTTTCTCCTGGGCATATTTTCCTTCACTCACCGTAATCTTTAAATCCTTCTAAAGTGGAGAAGGAGACAGAAAAGCATACAGGAAACAAGCAAGTAAAAATGCTATACTATGGTTAAAAGTTAAAACAAAACAAAATAACAACAACAAAAACCACAACACTGCAGCCACCACCTAAAAATGGGTCCTATTGTACAGGAGTTCTATTTTTGGTTTCTAGAAAATTGTAGTGTCATCTTAGCCAACTTGCAAAATCCTTATACCTTCATTTTCTTAGCTGTAAAATGGAAAACATAATTTAAAACTATGTTTTAAACCACAATGCACTGGAAAAATGAATGCGTTAATATCTGGGAAGTATTTGGAAGATATTATTGAGTTGAAGATAAAATTTCAGAGAGAAAAAAAATCACAACTATTTTCCTACAAACAGGTCTTTAATTCTGTCTCTTCTTTTTATTACACTTTTCCTCTACTCTAGAAAAAGGATCTCAGCTACTAAATGCATTTAAATAACAAGCTCCTAAATACAAAATCATAAAATCATTTAGGTTGGAAAAGACCTCTAAGACATCGGTTGTAATCCTTCCTTCAGTGAATTACTATATCTCACAAAACAGTGTGACAAAGCAGTATCCCAATAGTGGAGGAAGCTGTATTTCAAACTTACTACAGTTTGGTTATCTTGTGCTTTAGGGAAGAGAACAGAATCCCTTAGCCAATGGGAACCAAAGCACCCAGAAGGGCTTTCATATTTAAGTTTGTGCTTAGCATTTCTGGGAAAGAACTACTCTTGCTAGGATTTGCGAATATTTTTTCCAACTCTCAGATCTAAGTGATTCCCTTCCTCCAGCCACATCCCACTGGGGTGCCCCCCATACGGACCATGATGATCCTACCAGAAAGCTTAACCTGACTCACTACCTGTTTATTTACTCTAAAGGCAGCGACAGCCCAGAGCATTCCTGAGAGCCCTGAAGAGGCTGCCACCCACGTGCCCCCTCCCAAAACAACAGAATTCTGGCACCTCTGGGCACACAGTGCCTTCGTTTGAGAGCACATGCCAGCCCTGCTCCTGCTACTCAGCACTGCCCACGCCTCCCTGCCTGCTTGCCATAGGGGAGGGCGTTTTCAGTGTGTCAGCCCCCCAAGCTCTTGCCCACATTTTTTTTTCCCTGCAATGTGTGGGGTGAATTAAGAGCCCACTGCCTTCAACAGGCTCCTCCTCCTGATTTCTTAGGCTTTGCCTCTATGTCTTCATTTCTATTTTAAAGGTCTAGGCAATCTTAAGAGCAATCTCAGCTATTTTAAACTACTTTAATTTGATTGTATTAATGTGCAGCTTGCAGGCACAAAACTCAACATCCACAGTCAGAGATGACTCAGACTACTCAAGCCTTTCTGATTTTTTTTTCATCTTATTTTTTCTGAAAACAAACCTCTCGCAATCTTCTGTACTACCTTCCTGGCAGTTTTGATTTATCCAACCAGACGCTGAAGAGTTCCACAGTTACAGTTTGGATGTGAACTGGGGAGCTGGATGACCAAACCTACTCCAGTGGGGAACGTAAATTGGTTAGACTCATTGTTTATATTAGGATTTTTTCTCTTAGGTCGCAAACAGTCTGCTAGGGAACTGTGAATGAAGGTACATGCTGGCCTTGAGACAAAACCACCCACATTAAGTAAATTTAAATCAGTGCTTCCTCCAGGAAACAAAGTCTTGTATTACTTACAAGCAGATTTGATTATGATTTAGAGAATTGTTTAAGCCCATTTAGCAGATCAAAGGAAAACAGATTTAAACTGATGTGCTCATTGTTTCAACAAACACTGGTTGATATCTGATGCAAAGATCAACATGCTTAATGATTCCCATGTAATATGTCAGTGAAAACACAGGCCATAGTAAGGATGGCAACTTTAGATCTCGTGATTTTCTCAAAATACCCACTTCAGATTTTAAATTTTAAACTGAGGCTACAAACAGCCTTATCCTAACATATTCTAATCAAGTTCAATAAGGTAATACCATGAAAAGCTCTCATTCCTGTGTTTTCCTCTCTCTTCAAGGCCATAAAATACCTATTAATTTCATGATGAACAATATACCTACAACCCTTTCAAAAAATCACAGCAAAGACATTGTTATGCACATCTGTTTACCATGGCATCCAGTAAACATGCAGATTCATACAGCAGCATGCAAACAGCTTAGCAAAGAAATGGTTAAGATAAATAATATGGTTCTTCCAATAATCACTTTAGATTATTTTGTTTGTGAGAAATATTCTAGCTGGAAAGCAGGATTGGTATCAGACTCAGAAGTGGTGTTGATCTGACATAAGCCAAATGAGCCTTAAAACTGCAAGGAGGAAGTTGTTAGATAAAACATGGAGCAGAAGGCTCATGTTAATCAAATGAATATCCTTTATTTTCCAGAAATAACTATCACACCTTTAGTTTCAAAGGGGCTTTAGGGGAAAAAAATTGATGGAAATACAGTTCATTTTCACAAAGTGCCACTTCACATATTGCAAAAATTAAATTTAAAAATCTATTTTTGGGCCAGAATGGTTGAAGAAATCCCTGATTAGCCTCTTAATGGGGTGAGTCCAATTTAGTGAGAATGATCACCAGAGGGAGTCATTGACTTTCCCATTAAAGTCAAAGAGAATTTTGCATACATCAGCAATGCAGAATTTGGGGGCAGAGTTGAGAAAGACTCCAAACAGATTGGAGTTTGGGGACTAACAGAAAATAGTGTCTTACAGATTTCACTGAACCCATTTTCCCCTTTGGAGTCCCAAAGGATAACTCTTATATTCCACGGTGAAAGTTAGAAGGCACTGAAGTCATGCTGTGGGTACAAATAGGTATAAACTGCTTCCTTCCCCACCTCCTCCAGTTCCAAAAAATAATAATAATTAAAAAAAAAAAAAGATCATTTAATTGGTTTTAAGTGGTTTAAAGTGGCCTAAGTACTAACTGCTCAGTTCTGTCTTTGGCTATGCAACATACTACAGTCTCTTGAAAAGCAGTCTCAACTGCCTGCAGAAAATCTCCGAGGTACAAGTGTGTCATACCTCAAGGGAATATCAGGACTTCAAGGAGGAAGAGAAAAGAGTGAAAAGTAGAGAGGAAGATTTGCTACTATGGCTTTTTTATTCTCCAATGTTAGTGACTAAAGGACTAAAAGAGGAAGTGAGAATGGGGATTTGTAAACCAAGTGATGTGATAAACTAAGCAGATGAACCAGTCTACTCAGCCATGAGCAAGTGCGTACTTAATTTTCACACTCCTAAGTTTCATGACCTTCAAAGAAATAACTTCACAGTAAGAAGTGGGCTTTTCCTTGCTGGACTTCAGCTCAGCCTTGTTCTTGCCCCAAAAACCCAGCAGACTTTGATTGGAAAAGAAGCTAATTCACCAGGCAACTTTCCCCTTAATTCTGTACAATAACATTACACAGCAGAAAATACAGCAGAAAATTAGGTGATTTAAAAAGGCAAGAAAACAGCCCCACCCTAACAAATGCAATTTCACTTGCCTAGAAATGTCCTCTGAACAGATCAAATTCAATTTGTTTCTGTGTTCCCAGGTAACAGCAGCACCTTGTTTAGCTTGTTTATTTAATTACTTCTTCTTGTTCATGCAATTAACTCAGAGACTGCAGCCTTTTGTTCATTATGTTAACCATAATATAGTTATTTGCATAGCTATTTCCATTTCGAGGCTGGATTTTGGGTAGAGACTCTATTTTGAGCTATGCCTGACAACAACCAGGAAGTATCAGGCAAGGCTGAAAGCACCATCCTGCTATGTGGTGGGATGAGCCACGCTGTGAACTGCATGGGCTGCCTGGCTGCTTCCAATGGCAAATTGAAGGCGTGTCCCCAGCATGCATCGCAAAGCACAGCTGTCTTGCATAGTATGTGCCACCAAAACACAGCCCAGTTCATCCTAAGGCATTTTTGCTGACAAGATGCCAAAGCTCAACTTTACTGACCTTTGGAGCTGTACAGGATATTACTCTGGTCAACATGTGCTTGATTTAAAATTATCAGTACCCATATTTAGATTGGGTGAAGATTTTTAGAGATGAAGGTTACTTTAGTCTTCCATGAACAGCTTGATGCAATGTCCATTTGGATGTAGTGCTGCAGTAATGCTCAAATGAGCTGTTACACAGTTAAATCTTTTATTAAACACTCAGATGTATCCCCAGACCAAAGTTTAGCAGATTGTTGACCCTCATCACCACACCCACCAGTCCTCTGATTTTTGCCAGCTCATTTTTATCTGAATTGCTCAGAAATTGAGGAATCTTACAGAAGCTAGAGGCAGAGGCAGCGCCAGTGGGAGTCTGCATGTTCTGGTATGCAGCAGGCACCTTCATCTCAGCCTGCAGGCACCTAAACACCCCCAAAACTCTTCCTCTCAAGAGAAACGGCACACCAACTTACAGTATTTGAAATAGAACTGGAACACCCAGCTTGGAAAAATTGTCAATCTTTGTGGTTTACAATTCAGCCTTAATATATGCAGGACCCATAGCTACAGTTAGAATTAGCTCTGTAACCAACTGCAGCAAAGTGCAGCCTTTTAATGGCATAGTTGTAATCCTACCTGTGCCATCTGCCTCTCCAGCTTCGACCGAGGAATATCATCAAAATAGTTCTCATTTCTTCTCCTCCTTGCATCGCCCTGCATGATAATGTGGGGAACGTCCAGGGAGCCACCAGTAGTGAAAGTGCTTTGGCTAAGTGATGGAGACAACTGAGGAGGAGTGTGGTTACCGCTGGGTTCCTGAACAGAGAGGACAAAAATACAGCATAATGAGAGCAGCATATTGTTCAAACTACACATTTTAAAGTGTATTTCAAATAATACTTAAAAAAAAAAAAAAAAAAAGGCACAGAGCAAGCAGTCATTTTCTTTCCTCAGAACCTCTCCATCTCCCTCGTACATGACCAGGAGGAAGGCAAGTTCTATGAGACAATTCTCTTCTTCCTGCGCATGTGGCTAGGGAAGTGACAGACTACACTCAGAAAACTGTCTCTTTCCCCAAAAATGTGCTACCAAAGGTGCAGAGCCCAAATGGAGGGAAGAATACTTAATTACTGCTCTGAGCAAGTGGCAAATTCCTTCCCCAAAACTTCCTTGTATAATATAGCAGTCCTTTACTAGGACTGACAGAGAGATAAACAGTGAGTTACTTCTTGTCAAGGCCCAAATGAAGTTGTGATTTAAGACTAGTTGTTCGTAAGATGAAATACATTTTCACCACTTTTTAAGCCACTCTGAGAAGCAAAAATGTTTTGAAAGTGATTTGAACTCTAGCAACATCCCTTGCCTGAAAAAATAAATGCATGAACATTTACAAAATATAGATACTTTGTTTACAATTTTTATAGGTCTTGCAGAACATACTTTAACTTGAGGTACTGGACATCAGAAAAAACCCAAATAACAATTCCTAGAATGATGGGAAGTATCAAAGTACAAACATTTCACCAGGCTTTTCCTGTGCTGAACTGCGACCTTGTATCAGTCAATGTGCAAATACCATGCAAATTGATACATGACCTCCATCTAATTAACAGCTAAACACATCCTCCTGACTACAGATTTTCCCATGAACTGCAACCACACCAGCGACAGGCAGCCACCACATGTACTTTTGGAAACACCTGTTCTCTTGCACACTGCATCACTTGTTCAAACACAAATTACAAACGCCAGTGCCCAAGTCCACTGCTCAGCACTGCCTTGGTGACTAAAATCATCATCATCATCAGAGCTATGCCTTGCCGTTCAGTTAGTGGACACACCATCCAGCACGTGCAGTAAAACACTGCTGTAGTGACTGGAAGGGTGTAAAAGTTCCTCCCCCACAATGCTCAACTTTTCTGATACAGTAAGTTCTTGCAGTAAGCTCTCTGGAGCAAAGATCATACCCAGGAGTGTGTTTTCAGTGTCTGAATTACCTATTGCTGTAATACTGTATTTTATACTGAAAAGCAAGAAGGGACCTGAATATGCTCTACAATGAAAAGCAGCAAAGAACTCTACATGGAGGGGAAAAAAAAAAAAACAACAAAACAAACAAACAAACAAAAAAACAACTGCTTTTTCATTTAAATGAAGAATTAAAGTGGATATTTCATGCCTGATTACATTGAACCAAACCTAATTCTGCAAAGCATTAAGGTACTTTACTCCATGCTGTTAAGAAACAAGATATAGTGAAAGAAAACAGAGTTGTAATCTCTTCCAAATGGAAAGTTAAAAATCTCTTTCTGTGCTCAAGTAATAGTAATATCTGGTGTTAACATTTGAATTGTAGGAGTCTATATGACATTATTCCTCACAGTCATAATAACAGGTTAGAGTTTTCCACATTGGTTGACTAAAGTCAGGGTAGTTGTTTACAACTTTTAATTCACTGAGTTTTTTTTCCTTTTTTTTTTTTTTTTTTTTTTTTTTTTAATTTTAATTCTCTAGCTTGCCTGTGATCTGAGACAAGTACTTGACATTTCCCAGGGCAAAGAAAGGAATGTTTTCCTCTCAGGAATAGTCTTTTCCTCCTTCATGCAAATCCACCTACATTTGGCCCAGTTAAAGTCTTCTGAAAATCTGGAGTTTGCATACACTCAGAAGGTTTGGTGAAGCATCATCCCTAAAGCCTGTCCCTGGTTCTTCCACAGGCCTAGCACTGACACAATGCTGCACACAGCCCTCTGCTGAAAATAATCTGAGTACAGGGGCACCAAACGACTTCCTTTCTAATAGTTGCTACCTGCTCTTCCAGCAAGGTATGTAACCTCTTTCTTACTCTAACCACAGTTCACCCAGTGCTAGCACCAATAGATTGACATGGCATGGCCATCAGTGGCTCTCAGTGTTAGAAGAGTTTGCAATGGATATCAAGGTTACATGGGTTTTTCATATTTTATCAAACTGCATATAAAGAAGAAATTCACCCAAAAATCAATATTGGAAGATTGCTATAAAGGCAAGAATTACAAAGGCAATAAATAAAAGAATAACAGTGCCTCTGCATTACGATGCAGTATTTAACTGTATGATTTCATGCTATTTTCTCAGAGAAGTCCTTCACAGCACAGATGGATCCTCAATTGTGCAGCATGTTGTCATATACTCAGCGTTGTGTTATCATTAGTTATTGTGTAATCAGTGTTTTATTCTCACCTCATTTCATGGCCCCAAACCTCTTCCCCAAATTCTATTCAGATCCTGCTCTGAAGATAGAATGATTAATATTGTCATTTTCATGATGCTTCTAAGTGCTTTACAAACTTCAATCAATTTATTTTCACCACACCCTGTGACTTCTGGCATTTTATAATCACCACTTTAGTGCAAGGGAACTGAGACACACAGACAAAGGCTAATAAATATCAGCCACTCTGGATGCCCAATTACAGTATCTATTGCCTGATTTTCCAAGTGCTTGTATTCAAAACCCTGCTTCTATTGATCTAATTTGCAGTACTGTGTGCTTAGCACTTGTATAAATCAGACTCCAGACTCCAGTCAAATACGCAGAATGTCTGTAACATACAATTAGTGACTGTTTATGAGGCAATTACTTAAATAACTTGCCAAGAATTATCCAAGAGCTTTGTGGCAAAAGCAGGTGTGAATCTGTATTCTCATAGCTACAGCTATTCTTTTAATCATGAAGCTCTCTCTCATTCTTCCTTCATTCCTCTTTTTCACCCCATACCCGCTTTCTCATTTCCTTCACGGTGCTGCAGATCAGGCATGGATGCCCATGCAGCGTGCTATCACGTATTCAGTACTGTGCTGTTGCTAGTTACTGTGTATTCATTGCCATGTTTCCACCTCCCTGTGAATTCAAGGATGCGTGACGATACATTTCACTATTGAAACCTCCTTTGTCCCCACCTCTAAGACCCACCACAAGCTGGAACCATGCAGTTCAGGGCCGGAAAGTGATCTTCAGGAGATCCTTCTCCAGGCCACCCTGGCACCCCTGATGCCTCACTGGTCTAGCCAGTTCAAAAAAAAAAGGATTTTTTTCTAGTGCATTAAATTTTGTGTTAAACTATCATTACTAATGTTAACACTTCTTCAGCCTTTCACTCTAAATTGTTATACCTAGTTTAAATTCTGGCCTCAAAGGCTGACTGGGTGAGGGTGAGTTTCCATGAAAAACAGTGAAAGTGGTCATGTAATTAAATATTATGTTATAATGCACTCAAGAAAAGAAAGTAAGACTAAGTTACCAAGGTAACCTGAGATTCAGCATTTTCTAACTTTTGAGTATATGACTTTGAAATCAAAATAATGTTTCCTTATTACACAGTTAATGTGGAAATAATGTATTTTTCTGGAAATTAGTCTATTTGTTCCTATTCTAAATATTTAACTTTTTTTTTTGTTTTTCCTTTAAATATATAAAGTACCTTAAAAACTAGTACAAAAAGAGTTAAAAAAAAAAAAAAAAAAAATGATAAAGTGCTATCAATGCTTAGGTTGACCTTAGGACCTTAAAGAAACTCTTTAAACAAGGAACAAACTTTTCTATTAGATATAAATCAATTTAATAGCTGTGGATATTTTATTTAAACCAATTTTCAAGCTAAAACTAAAACCAGACCAAATACTATGTCCTGGTTTTGGGTGAAATGGCATGGTTGATGTGAAAGAAATCTTATTCCAAACTCATGTCCTTTACTTTAAGATTCTTTCCGAAGACTCCAATACTATGAAGTGACGAATGACATTTAGCATTTGCCCGCATCAGTAGCTCTAGCTGTGGAGCAGCAGACTACTTTTTTATCATTTTGACTACAGATGGAGGACATCCAACTTTATCTTCACTATTAACTGAGAATACACAATTCTAACCAGTAACATAGGCTGTGGAAACGTTCCCACCTGCTGAAGAGGAACTAATTCCCCAGTCCAAGGCACTGACAGTACTGACGAAAAATGTGTGACTTTCAAATGCTGGCCCATGTTTCCTCTTTCCTAGGAGTGTTTTAACACCTGCCATGCATCAGGAAATTATTCACATAATACAACTAATACAAAATACTAGAAAAATATTCACACATTTGTGCTACGTGCCTTAGAGCAGGACATCATAGGTTTGTGACACTTTTTTTGACATGGCATTAGGAATAGGTTGAATTTGGGAGGGGAGGATTTAAGATGTCTATATGTGGCATTTGAGATTAAGCAGACTGAAAACAGGCTAGTCACAGAAATCAGGAGGAGTATGTAAAAATAAGTCCTCATTCTGTCTTTCTCTATTTCTCTTTACACCAGGAAATTTAACTTGGGAGCACAGGCCACTCTCTGACATTTGGAAATTTAGTCCCAAAATGAGATTCCAGTCACAAATTCAGCCCCATGACAATAATCAAAACCAATCAAATGCAAGAGATGTGACCTAAAATATCAAAATAAAAGTGTTGATGAATATGAACTCCCTTTCAGAGAACACAGTAGGAATGGGTCATCAGACCATAACTTCGTCAGGGTAACAGACAGCAAAGATGCTGGACAAAAGAAACAGAGAATTTGGTGTAATGAGACTAAAACTGGGCAAGTGTGAAAAAACCCCAAGGACACTGCAACAAGGCTTCTGAAGGTGGGAATACGAATGAAAAATAAAAATGCAAAGATTTTTTTTATACACAGTAACACCTTGATGGCATTTGTATCTCAACAATTTCAAGAGGCAATCTTTAAAGAAAGCATAAAGCATTCCTCTGGAAAGTAAGTGAAAGCACTTTCAAAACACGAAAGGAAAACAGTAACTCTTTCTGCAATATTGATCGCTTGGTCTGGGACTCCTAAGGGCTGATGTAGAAATGCAGCTTGTAGATGTCTGTTCCTGAGCTAACTTCTTCAGCTGAGAGGCACTTCTAAGACACTACTTATCTCATCCTAACGTAGACATCTGAACCAGGTCAGATGAATCACCTAGTAAAAATGTCAAATTCTCTCCAATGGCGATAAGAGGAGGTGTGGCTGATCAAGTCAGCCTAAGACATCCACACTGTAAACTACCAAAGAGACATTAAACTGAATCCCACTCAAAGCAACCATTGATTTCATGTGAATATTATGAAATGTTTGCTGACTTTTAAAGAAATTCAAACAAATTTTTATGGGGACTCACCCTGAGGGTTATCGACCGAGGTGGTTTCTGAGGAGGATCTTCGTGCAGCCTGTCTCCCAAAGATGCCAGAACACGCTTCCGGTGGCCAATCAAGCTAATTTTTAAGACCTGGAAAAGTAATAGAAAGATCTCATTAAAAAGAACACATTGTAATCATTAAATAAAGATTTATTTGGACTGAGACCATTTTCACTTTAAATGCTTTAACAAGTTAGTCCACCACGCAGGTTGAGGAGACAGAGCAGTGTGAGGCAAACAAAGGGCAGAGAAAATGAGAAGTGAGATCAGAGGAAAAATCCTGTAAAATGAAGGAAGATACCAAAGTAGATATGGATGCAGAAAATGAGAAATAGGCTCACGGATGAGTAAGGAGGAGAGAAAAATGACACAGGAAGAGAAGGCAGCAAAGCAGGAGCGAAAACAAGGGAAGGGGAGGGAGAGACTGGAAACACACAGATGGAGCCAAAAAGTGAATGATAAAGGGATTCATAGGTATGGGAAAGATACAGATATTAAGGACCAGAGATTGAGGAACAGCCAGCAAATACTTTGAGACAGCAACAAGGGAGAAAATGAACTGCACAATGATCAAATAGTATTGCTTTTAAATCTATTCACCATGCCTTTTGCAGGTAATCTCTGAATGACACGCAGAGTTTGCATTTATCTTGGAGAATCATCCTCATGTAAGAAAACCAGGACATTCTCCCCAACATTGTCCTGGTGACCTACTACTTTTATCATATGCAATGAAAAATCTCTATTGCACACAAACCTGACCATCAGTGGACAAGTTCAAATGCCTTCTGCTTGTCTAAACTCTAAAAACACTTCTGAAAAAGTGTTCCAAATTTACTGCAACTATACCCTACCTGTACCTCTCCATGTCTCTACCACATACAAAAAAAACACTGTTCTTGGGGAAACAGAAGAGCAGAAGAGAAGAAGCAGAAAGTAGGAAACAAGCATTATTGGCAAAAACAAAAACAAACACATATTTTGATGCCATTCTTTAATGGCTACAATTGCTTCAAAGTGTAAAGCAGCCATAACTGCGGAAGCAAGCTTCTGTCCTCAGAGGTATCCTCACATAACTCTTGCAGACTATGTATGGTTTCATACTCCAGAGCTGCCTCCATTCACTCCCAGAAGACAGTACTTCACACTATATTTAGGATCACTGTGTGTCAACACCCTTGAGTTGAAAGGAATTTGTCACGCATCCTAGAAAAAGTAATAGTACCCACAAAAACTCTGAAAATGGTGCCTTTTCAGTGAACAATTACCTCAGATTAAGCAGTAATATTAAGAACTACCATTCATGAAAAACAAAACAAAACAAAACAAAAAACCAACAGCAACAACAACAACAAACACAGAAAACAACTACAAAGAAAATGCGACTCTCCAAAGGCACCTCTTAGATCCAGTATCTCAGGTACAGCAACACAGCCATCATTCTGGTGGGTGACCTCCTATCCATAGGCAAGTGAATTCACTCACATTTTGTTAAATTTTACTACGCTATCTGACATCATTGAACATCAAGAACATCCGGTTTCTCTGCATCTATAACATGATGGGCTATGACATGAGAGGCAGCTAAAGAGGGTTGTTGAGACCTTGAAGCCCAGCAGCAGACCCAAGCTGTGGAGTCCCACAGGCCTGTTATGTTCTCTCTCATATTAGTCTAAATCTGCAGAAGCACTCATAAAGCACAGCTTCAGACAGCACAGCATACAGAAATGCCAGAGGCATTTGGGAGACTTATGTATTCAGTTTACATTGAATGTTAAACACAAGGGTGCACAGTTTATCTCAGTATTTAACTGTATGAAACACGTGAAAGAACTACAGCTGCTTTAAGCATTACTCAGGTAATGCACTTTAGTGAACTTGTTTCTTTCATAATGTTTCCCCATCATCAGGAGCACCTACCCAGAGATTTTTAAGTCAATCTACAGTTCGTGGGTCATGTTGAGGTCCTCAGTGCTTTGAATGCTTTATTAGCTGTATCAAACCAGGCAAAGAAATCCACACAAAGCAATTTTCTGTGACTTCATACAGCTGCTGAACAGCAGAGGAGTCTTGTGGGACTTCCCACATCAGAGATCAGGATACAGGTCTAAATGGTTAACTTATTTCAAAAACTGTGCTCATATTCAAAACAATACAGATCTTTAAACACCATAAACACTTCTGAGCTTATTCTGTATTTTGTTATTCCACTTAAATGGTGGTAAACTCAAGAGAGAAGTGGTAGTAGTAGGGATTTAAAGATGCAATCTACACAGTTCTATTTACCCATTTGAACTACATATTGTCAACTGAAGACGCTTGTTTTCTTCTTGAAATGGACTTGTAAAGCCTGATACTTGACTAATGAATGTAAAATACTTTTTTCTGAGGCACTTCTATATTTGAGTTCTGAGACAAACACCCTGAAATGCCAAAAAGTTGTTCTGTGATGGATTACCCTTGACAGTGTTTATCACAACTGTCAAATATCACAAATATAGGACAATGATGTGTAATAGTGAAGTTGCCTAATGCAATATCTTAGGAACACCTTAAGGTTTTATATCAAAACACCATTAAAAGTCTTGCACATATTTAGCCCACAAGTTAGTTGCCGGTGAATGAATGTCTTTGTACCATGCAACAGTGAAACCAATACCATGCACTCAAGGGCTATGCAGTAAGACATTTTGTCAAGTGAACTGGAGCTTACTTCATACATGACAGTGAACTAAGTTTTGCAGTGTGGCTGCAGTAATCAGCTAGAAGATGTCATCAAACTGTGAGTGTAGCTTAAGGCACTGCACAGCCTATATTTCATTACTAGGACAGGAAAAGCACAATGGTACAATGGTGATCCACACCAACAGTACAATACCTAAGACAAAAATAATGCAACTCCTTCTAATATATTTGCTTGTATTTGTAATATAATTGAGGAGAATGGCCCAAATCATTTGTCCAAATAAACTGTGTATGAACACAAACACAATCCTATTTTTAGCTTTATCTTCTCCAACGATTAGTACACAAAATAAAATTCCACTAGGAAATGTAAGAAATCCAGAAATATAACCAATGCAACACTCAACATTTAGATTTCTGACTTAGCTGACAGATGTTTAAAAAACAAACACATGTAGCCCAGCAACTCCCTGATGGCTATATACGTGCAGATGCTGGAATTAACAAGTTACTCCATCTAAAACTGAGCATTATTTCTGCAACAAACTTCTGTCTGATCTTTTCTTCTGATTGAATAATAGGAACAAACATCACATTTTTGTAATTATTCTACTTTTATTTATTTATTTAAATTGGCATTATAAAGATTACTGAAATTCAAGACATCAATGCCCTTTCTTTTGGAATAATCTGAAAAGTTACTGTATGGTGCAAAATTAATACTGCAGTAGTTCAAGCAGTCTGGTCTAAAACAGCAGCAGCAGTCAGACACTAGGTGCTAGTTTCAACGTGGAAAAGCAGAGAGTGATCAGAACAGTACTGGTAATTCTCTAGTGGCAGCATCAGACACTTCAGAATTTAAGCTTCATTTAATTAGTAAACAACCCTAACATTTAGAGCTAAGAAGAAAAAAAATTAAATACAAACCAATAAGGCATGGTTCTTCTATTTCTGCAAGCAACCAGCCTAAAAAACTAGCTAAATTCAATTTTAATAAACTGTTGTACTGCTGATCATGCTGCAATAAACTCCAGGCTATTCTGGAATTGTGGGTATATTGATTATTACTATTTTTCTGCCACAATATCATACCACGGCACTAATCCTAAGACATGATAACACCTAGAATACTCATGAAACTAGCTTAGGTCATCCAGCACAGCTCACCTGATCATCATGCTTGGTATAACTGAGAATTTGAAAATGGATTAAATGCATTACTATATAAATAGCCAGGATGGAGCACATTTTTACTCAAAGTTTGAAAACTCCTACTCATCTAACTGATATCTCTGATCAACAGTTCACCATCACCCCAAAAAATAAGCACACACACATGCAAAAAAAAACCAAACCACCAACTAACCAAACAAAAAAACACACACCAAACAAAATTCTGCAGTGTAATAATGGCATAATTTGAAAGATAAATATGTCTGAGTCATTATACTTTCATAAAAAATGATGACAGTCACTACATGGCAGAGCTGATAAATGACCCCATGCCCCAGTCTCCCAGCTGAGCTAAAACTGTTGTGGGATGTCAGAGACCCAAGAGTCCCATTTACCAAGCAGGCTCGTTAATCTCCTCCATGAGGGCAAACTCCCATGGGATCAGCCCTAGACCTGAAGTGACTGAGAGCTGTGGGAAAAGGCAAGATCCTGCATCCCTCCCACATCCTTTCTTCCCATCTCACGTGCAAGAACATGAGATGTGCAGGCGGAAGAAGGCAAAAGCTATGCAAGGTAGCTGCAATACTGAATGCCTGGTGGCTTATCGGCACCAGACACACCCAACCATATTAAACTTCCATTGCATTTTTCACATAACAATACCTTATTATCTTTCTCATGCTGATTCTCATGCTGTAGCTACCAGTTCCTTCCAGCCCTACAATCATGGGCCCAAATTATCACAAACTCTTGTTCGTTTTTAAACAGTGCAGGGATTCTCTGGTAGCACCCCTAAAGCACAGCAAAGTGCAGGCACACAGCAAGAGAGAGGCTCCCAAGCATCCTTGCTGCAATTCTGCCCAGAGCAAGACACCTCTGCTTTCCACAATTACAATGGAAGCAATCATTTTTTTATGTATATGAAAAGACTTGCAAGAGACTTATGATTTCATATCATAATGATACGAAATATGTGTCATTATCCCCCTGAATTAATCACCCAACTGGAAACAGATGTCAGTTGTCTTGGTGATAGCATTTCAGAGACAGATGGCTGCCTAACAAGTCCTGTTTCTATATGTTGATCATGAAGAACTGATGTTGTTCCCCACCCCTCCCACCTCCCCCCAAAAATAATAAAAAAAAAAAAGTTGCAAATCTGCAGTTTAATGGTACTGAGTAGCCAGCCAAAGGACAAGAACCTTCTTAAGGAAAAAGTAATTTTGAATCATATGTACTTGTTCCCACCTGAGCTGCGTTGCTGCCAGTTAGCTTACTGCAGATCAGCGGTGCTGCAGTGCTGCTTACCACTGCCATCCCACCTCAGACTCAGGTGTATGAGGATTTACTATATTTTTTGCAGAAGTACTCAGGATAGCCTTTGGCACTGTGGAGGCCAAGGAAATTTTTGCCTTGACTTCACTGGACATTTTTGTCATTAAATTGTTTTCAAATTTCTCATTAGTTTAAGAATTGGCTGTCAGAATACATCAGGTGCTGGCGCTTTTGGCTCCATTAAGGATAAAAACAAAACAATGATTGTGTGCTTGCAATTGATAACTCATTATTTCAGTGAAAAATATTAGTTTAATTTTTCATTAATAAAAATCAAGAAAATACAATGAAACCTGAATAAAAATGAGACCTTGGCATTCTATCTCCTGAGGATGTGTGTCAGGCTATGTGCTGAATGAGCCACTTTTTACACGCATTTTTATTTTATTTTTATTACAAAGAAGTTAAATCCATATTTTTAAAAATGTCACAACAAAATGTTTTGGGAAGCCTCAGGTTTAATGATAAATATTACATATGTGCATTTTTTTTAACACGAGGCTCAAATACATAACTCAGTAATCCTAGAAGTGTATTATACATACAAACACAGACTATTACAATAATGATTACCTATTCTAAGAGGCAAGACTGAAAATATTCTTTATGTGAAAAACAGCAAGCTCTAAGCAAGTCTGTATATAGAGTGAAATAAATTCCTTCTATTTTCACAGGCACTATGTGGAAAAAATATTGGACAACTTGAAAGGTGGAATAAATTCCCAAAATGAATACTAGAAGAGTATTCTTAGACTGTTTTCTCCAGTACTGACTTGCATTTTTACTTCTGTGCTGAACTAATAGCAGGTCTAGTTGCTGGCTCAGATCAGATTTGGAAAATGTGCAATCAAAGAGACCAGCAGTGTTGTTCCTGGCCAATCTCCTTGAGGTCCTCCATGTTAATCATACAGGATGATGAGAGACCAATTGCAACACCAATATGTTATCCCATTATATTTTGCAGGATTACTTACATAGTGGATAAATTATAATTAATGCTACCAGTACTACAACACATTTCATAATTAGCTAATCATTTACTTATCTACGTTTAATATGCAATTATCAGCCAAACAATTAATTTGTACACAAGGCTGAAATATAGCTCATATAATGAGAAATTGGAGATAAAATACAA